TGTCACCAGCCTCGGGAAATATATGGTAATATGGGGAAATAAATGAAAATATTAGGTATTACAGGGAAATATAAGGAAATACATTACAATATGGGGAAATATAAGGTACCTATTATCAGGAAATATCGGGGTATTATTAGGAAATATCAGGGTATTATTAGGAAATATCGAGGTTATCAAGAAATATCTAGGAAATATCCAGGTACTTATTATCAGGAAATATCGAGGTATTATCAGGAAATATGGAGGAAATATCGTGGAATTATAGCACATGTAACGTAACGAACACACCCAAGCATTCACGATGCCAGTTTTGTAAATAAATAAATTAGTATTTGAAATTAACTCTGTCTCTAAAGCCTGATTTATTGAACTCCACCGTTCGTCGTTTCCTTTTCGAACCGCATCGTTTCTCCTTAGTAAACTTTCAACTCCACTGTTCGTCGTATGTTCAGTAGCCAATTAAATTGGACAATTTTTGCCTTATGATGTGTTTCCAAGAGTCTAACAGATTATATTATTATTATTACCTATATGTATTGTGGATGTATATGAATAAAAACTTTGTAAACTTTAATTTCAAACAAAACCCAAGAAAACACACAATTCATTAATCAGATATTTTCTCGCTTGCTCTTTTTGCCGTTTCCGCTGAAAAAAATTATACATGTTTAGGCAAGTTTTCCTGAAGCCAGTCCTGTTCTTCCTGTTTTTTTTATCTATCTTTAGTCTTCTTGTTGTAAAAATGCTGCAAGCCGGTCCTGTTCTTTCTGTTTTTGGTCTTGTTCTTTATTCTTTTTTTTTCTTTTTCTGTTTTTGGACTTCTTGTTGTTGTAAAAGTGCTACAAGCAATGCAAGCCGGTCTTGTTCTCCTTGTTTTTCTTTCCATCCTCGTTCTTCTTCTAGTTTTTCCTTTTGTCTTCAGTCGTCCCCTTTGTCTCCTGTCTTCCAAAATTTTCATGAAGTCTGACAAGATTTGATTAACCTGCTCCATTTCGAATGCTGTCGGTTTGCTGTCATCTATTCACCATAGAATATTCTGATTTTGAATCTAAAGTTCTGTGATGAAGTGAAATTTTAAAATAGAACACAATGAAATATTTTAGAAAACCACTTTGTGGACTTGTTTTTTGATATCGAAATCACTAATGAAGTCACTATTCTTGTATCACTCACAGTTTCCCAATGGGATTCTATGAAAATTTCCAAAATTTTCCAGAAAATCTGCTTTTGAGCTTGTTTTAGATGTTGAAGCCAGCAATACAGTCACTATTCTTGTATCACTTACGGTTTCCAAATAGAATTCTATAGAAGTTTCTTTTTTAATTGGATCACCATGAAATTTTGAAGAAAATCCTCGAGAAAAACCGCTCATTTAGCTGGTTTTTTGATGCTGAAGACGGTAATTAAGTCACTAATCTTGTATTACTTACAGTTTCCAAAAAGAATTACATAGAAGTTTATAGAATTTTCCAGAAAATCCGATTGTGAGCTTATTTTAAGATGTCAAATCCGGTAATAAAGTCACTTTTCATTTCAATAACAGTTCTCTGATTGTTCCCCCACTAATTAGCTCTCAAATCGAATAGAAAGAGGCGGCATCCCGACGTAAACAATTCATTTTCTCAGAATTCTCGCCGGGTTGTCGATGCACTTTCGTAACAGTAATAAAGGCAATATTGGAGAATTATCAGAAATTACGGAGAAATTATTTTAAATATTAGGGAATTACATGTATAAGGCATTAAGGGAAATTATGAGGCAATATCGGGAATTACTGGAAAATATACGAAATAAAGGCAATATTCGGGAAATAATTCCCCCAAGTGGAAATATTTGTCAAAAATCTCAGGGGTGGTTTACCCCTTGCAAAAATAACCATTGAAAAAAAAAAAGAAATTTAGGTTGTGCAGTTATTTTATAGCAAAAAACATCTGAAATATGTGACAAATAAAATAAGAAAACCTATTCACAAATTTTATGAATTAAGAAACATATTAACATTGAAAACCATCTAAACCATCTATTATGCTCTAGTTGTCTAGTTGAATCAATGATTAATTATGGGTTGGCTGTGTGGGGAAACGCAGGAACCACAATTTTTTCAAAATTATCAGAAATGGTTAATAAAAATTATAATGTATAAGGACAAAAGATATCCTTCTGATCTTCTTTATGAAGAAAGTGAAATAATGAATATTCAACAACTATACATTAAGTCAGTAAGTAGATACATGATCAAAAACCCAGACTATAAAATTTAATTAAGCCATGGTATAAATACGAGAAATGTTGTGCAAGGAAAAATTGAACTGCAAAATCCTAAACACACAGCTTGCCAAAATCACATCTACTGCGTAGGGCCAAAAATCTTCAATGATATGCCAGATAATTTTATAGAAAGTGCGAAATGTAAAAAAAGAAATAAAACAAAGATTACGAAATGGATCATAGAAAGCAATTATAAATTAAAGGGGGTGTGCGCCAAAAAAACAACTTCATCTCTCAAAAAAGATAAAAAAAATATAAGAATAACAGTGACAACCACAACCCTCTATGACAAATAACACTGAAGATATGGATGGCTCCATGAAGGTACTGAATCTCACCCTATGAAGTCACGAAAGCTCAAGCGACGCACGAGAAGGTGAAGTAAATTGAATGTACATATGTTTTTCCTGTGTCACCTGCAATAATCTAAACAAAAACCACTCACGCGTGCCGGGAACAATCAAATTAACAATGCGGAGCGCGGCTGGATGAAGCTCTCGTGACGTCACACACACTTTAAAGCGGTATATCTCAGCGATGGTTTATCGTAGAATAACGAGATTTGAACAGTTATTCTTAGATTTTTTTACACTAAAAATTTAATTTCTGGCGCACACCCCCTTTAAATTACGTGATATAAAAATAAAAACACTGCCTATTTTATTTTGTATTAAATTATTTATTGTGGTCAAATTTTTTTTAGTTTATAAGTATAATATTGTAAATGTAAATTGAGCCATACCAAAACCAAAAAGTAAATTATTAATAGATAAAGGGTGCACACACAATATTTCAAATATCATTGTGTACCTGGAAAAATGTTTGTTAGAAGTTTTAGCATTGGATATTGGTAGGTAATTATTATTATTATTATTATTAAAAATTTATAGCATTAGATATCGTTGATTGTAACATGAGATTATAATTTCGTTCATTGTTACATTGCTACAAACAAATTAATAAATTTATTTTTTTGGCTTCTTCAATTATTTGTTAAAGGACTTCATCCATTTCTTTCACATTCAGGTGATTGGTTGTTTCAATTTGAAATTAAGCATTCCTCAAATGTAATTATTGTTGGTTTTAAATAATTAGATTGTTTGTCCACATTGGTCCTCGCATTGGTCATATTTGTCAGACTGGTCTTAGGAATAACCGAGGGAATAACTAATGTTTGTCTATCCAGAAGTTGTCAAGAAGGGGCGTTGTTGTACACTTGTAGTAAGATTATAGATATATGAATCTTCTTGTTTTGGCGTTTATTGATTATACATTTTGTATAGGCATTGGTACAATTTATACAATCAAGAGAGTTTGGGTTTATAAATTCATATGAATGTAACTGATCCCATCTGAATATATACTTATTTATTTATTTAGGTGATAATGACTCTGAAGTCTGAGCCTATGTACAGTTATTTAGAATAATAAATTTTCACAATGTTCCTATTACTAATTACATGACGTTAATTTGTTACTATTTTCAATAATTTACCTTGTCAAATTGCGAAAATGGCATTAAGGCGAGCATTAAGTTATAGCAAAGTTGTGTCATTTTATTCACTTCCAAAACATTTTGCAGTATTCGATTATATGTTTGGCTTTGTGTGGTTAGATAAAACTCTTATATAATAATAACATTGTTCCATTATGAAACAACATTTTTCGAGGGGTTAACTGTATGCCAAAATGTGTGAATTCCCTTGAGAATTCCGCGATCTTGTACACCATGATTCTACAGCAGTTTAGGTACCCCACGGAATTTGTTTATGATACGAATATTTTGATGTTTGATTTATTTCCTATTGTTAGATAGTATAATTATTATTTTCCATTATCACAGTGAAGACTGTGAGAACCGCTCTGCTGTTGGCGTGTTTATTTGACTTGCTTAGATTTTTAATTTTAATTTTCAATTTTAAATTTTGACTGATTTTAACTGTAATGTCCAGCTTCGTGTTTTATGTGCTTTATATGTATTCAGAATTTTTAGCAATGACGTTATATTTGGAAGCCTGAAGAAGACCAAATTATATGGTCGGAACGTCGCTGAATAAATATTAACGTCTTTTTTTTTTGCTGTCCTATTCCCGCTACTCCTTTTCACTGATAATTATTATTGCTAATCAAAATTGTGATCAATCAAATTTTGCACTTCAGCACTTTGCATATCGATATTATTTGAAATTAAATTCAATATTAGCATTGTTTAGACATTCTGATTATCTATATAGTATTAATTTTCTCTGCCATTAATTTTTGCAATTTACAATAATTGAGGTTCATCAAACCTTTTACTAAACTTTGCTTTTACTGACTTGTTTCAATACTTGTCATGTATTTCATTGCTTGAGATATAAAATTTGGTAAGCTGTATTGATTAACAATAAAATGAGCTTGCAGCGCACCTAATCAGTCACTTGCCATATAAAATGTCCTTGTAAAAGAGGTACTTATTTGTTGAGGCAAAAAATGAGCATCAAAGGCAGAACCTTTGCTAAGTTCTCTGTTTTAAATGAATGAAAATGAAAATATCTTTATTTAAATAGGTTAACCTAATATACAAAAAAAAAATTATACAATATAAATTTGTCCCTTAACTAGCAAAATTACAAGAGTATTCACATTATTTCCACTCCTACACAAAACACCAAAATTCCATAAATTCCATATATTCACCGAGATATTCACCAAAACCACTTAAGTCATCAGTTACATGTGTCTTTCAGGTACACCTGAATTGCCAGAAGATTACATGAATCAAACATGGAAAAAATTGAAAGGTGCAGTCGTAGCCATACAGCAGTCGAAAGCCAACCAGTATTCACTCGAAGAACTGTATCAAGCAGTTGAAAATATGTGCAATCATAAAATGGCATCACTTCTCTATAAAAAATTACAAAGCCTCATTGAAGTCCATGTTTCTCGCAATATTGAACAGTTTGTGGCAGAGTCCATGGATCGTTATTTATTTCTTAAAAAAATGAATGAAACTTGGCAAGCTCACTGTCAACAAATGATCATGATCCGTAGTATTTTTCTTTACTTGGATCGTACCTATATCCTGCAAAATCATATCTCTTCCATTTGGGATATGGGACTGGAATTATTTGGGAAATATATACTTCTTAATACTCTGGTACAAACTCGTGTTGTAGAAGGACTGTTAATGCTCATTGAGAAGGAACGACAAGGAGATCAGGTGAGTTTTGCCTTTTTTTCGTTATAAGAAGTTGCAATAAAAACTAAATTAAGAAACACAGAATGTGTATTCTAAATCAGTGAAAAGCTGATTAATTACAGCTATCCAGCATTTTAAATGTGTTACAAAATTCCACTTTCCTACATTAAGGTGTTACTTTTTCTCTCGGTTTTTCGTACTCTATCAAACCCGCGCAAGATTATTCTGGGTTTCAAAAACCTTTCATTTAATCTTTCTAAGAAAAATTGGAATTGAAACCATGTCAAACCTAATCGCTTATACTACCATCTCATTTGACAGTTTACCTATGCTTTTATATTTCAGGTGGATCGTTCCTTGCTCAAATCTTTGCTTAGGATGCTTACCGATCTATCGATATATAACGTGTCATTTGAACAAAAATTTATTCAAGCCACAGAACGTCTCTATGCTGCTGAGGGACAATGTCTTATGCAAGAATTAGAAGTACCAGATTACTTAGTACATGTGGATAAGCGTCTTGCAGAAGAAAATGAACGAGTTTTGCATTATTTAGATTCTGCAACTAAATATCAATTGATCCATACTGTGGAAAAGCAGTTGTTAAGGGAACATGTCTCTCAAATCTTACAAAAAGGTCTAGATCAACTCCTAACAGAATATAGATTGACTGATTTAGGCCTTCTTTATGATCTTTTAAGTCGCGTAAAGAATGGAATAGTAGAATTATGTTCAGCCTTTAACGCTTTTATAAAAAAGCGAGGCAAAACCATTGTTATTAACCCTGAAAAAGATAAATCAATGGTGCAAGAACTATTGGACTTTAAAGATGACATGGATACTGTTGTAACCAAATGTTTTCATAAACACGAACGTTTTACTAACTCTTTAAAAGAAGCCTTTGAAAATTTCATCAACCAGAGGACAAATAAGCCAGCTGAATTAATTGGTAAATATTTGAATTCTTTGTCATTTATAGTTATTTTTCATTTCTTTCGTAATTTAGCTAAATTTATCGACTCTAAATTGAGAGCTGGTAACAAAGAAGCTACCGAAGAAGAACTTGAACGTTTACTTGACAAAATAATGGTATTGTTTCGGTTCATACATGGAAAAGATGTTTTTGAAGCTTTCTATAAAAAGGTACATTTTTATTTATTTATTTTCAATTCAAGGGACAAACAATTCTTAGAGGTAATATACTTCTTCTCTCATAGTCCCAGACTGAAGGCACTACTTACATTTTGTTTTGCTAAGTTCTGCCTTTTTTGTTGTTTGGAGAGACCAGGTTATTTTTTCACTGTTAACTCCTGAATGAATAATATCTTGTTTTGCCATGATCTGTTCCTAAGTGTTTGCCACTTTTTAAAAGGTCGAAGACTGCCTGTCAGTATTAGATATATTGGGCTGGTTTGACCTCGTTTGTTCGAACTTATTAAATCTACCAAATTTTTACAGGATCTTGCGAAACGTTTACTAGTCGGAAAATCTGCTAGCGTTGATGCGGAAAAAAGTATGTTGAGTAAATTGAAACAGGAATGTGGTGGCGGGTTTACGTCTAAACTAGAAGGAATGTTTAAAGATATGGAGTTGAGTAAAGATATAATTCAGGCGTTTAAACTCGTCCACACTAGCAATAAGAAGCTTTCTCAAATTGATATGACTGTTAGTATTTTGACAATGGGTTATTGGCCGAGTTATCAACACATGGAAGTTTCTCTACCTGAATATATGGTTAAATTGCAAGATGTATTTAAGGTACAATATAAGGGTGTTCTTATTTTAAATTTACATGTGACTGTTGTAGGAATTTTATTTAAATAAGCATAGTGGACGTAAATTGCAATGGCAACCAACATTGGGCCATTGCGTCTTGAAAGCTAGATTCAATTCTGGACCAAAAGAATTAGTTGTCTCCTTATTCCAAAGTTTAGTGCTACTTCTTTTTAACGACTGTGATGAATTAAGTTTGGAAGATATAAAAGTTGCCACAAATATTGAAGATGGAGAATTACGAAGGACATTGCAATCTTTGGCTTGTGGAAAGGTATCAGATTTGTTATTTTAAAAAGGTTATACTTTGATAAATCTTTGGTTTAGGCTAGAGTGTTGTTGAAAACCCCTAAAGGCCGGGAAGTGCAGGATGAAGATCATTTCAAATTCAACGCAGAATTTGTTAACAAGTTGTTCCGAATCAAAATCAATCAAATTCAAATGAAGGAAACTGTAAGATTTGACTTAAGTTGAATTTCATTTTGCTATAATTTTTTTGTCAATTCTATATAGACTGAAGAACAGAAGGCCACAGAAGAAAGAGTATTCCAGGATAGACAGTACCAAATTGATGCAGCAATAGTTAGAATAATGAAGATGCGAAAAAGTCTTACTCATAATTTGTTAATTAGTGAATTATATCTTCAGTTGAAATTTCCTGTGAAGGTAAGTTATATTAATCAATTAACAGGATTTTTATATTTTCTCTTTAATTGTAAGTGTAATTATCGCAGTTTATTAGTAATAAAACCATTACTACCAAAACGAACATTCAGGTACCGAAAATCATGCTAAACAGAAGTGACGCACCCATCTACCAGTGTCGAAATTCAACGCGCATGTTCTCAATTACTATGTCATTGATAGAAATATTATAAACCAGTGGAGGGATGCGTGATTTTGGCGTCTATTACAAATAAATAACCAAGACGCCATATTACGGATTAATAACATAATAGTGAAATGGCATGAACTCAGGCATGAATACTTATAACTTGGATCAAAGAATTGTTAATTAATTTATAGAACACTATAATTAGGTCCAATTATTTGAAAATTAATCAGAATTTCAAACAATTTGTTCACGTGCTTATATCACAATTGTTTCTGAAAGCTTCCAAAATAACACGCTGGTACTAACAACAAATTTTATTGCAATAATTGACCAATAAAATTCACTAATCACTCATTGCTTTTACTAAACTTTATGCAACAATTATCGCATACAAACTTAACTGCAACTTAAAAGCGCTCCATATACGAAACCAATCAACCTATAAATCTCTAGAATGGAATGTCCATCTATTGCTGCAGTTATAATGTGAATAGTAGAACTGAGGTGCAAGGTTTATGTATACAAACCAAAGATTGACCAATAAAATTTTCATTTTATTCACCTAGAAAAGAATTTGTTGGGGATAGAAAAAGAAAAGGGAAAAAAGGTATGCATGAATAGACCACTGTTTAGTCGTAGTTGTGCTTAGCAACAACCTATAATGTAAAAAAATTTAATTAGTATATTTTTGTTTGTTTTCTTTTAAAAAATAATCCTTGTTTGTCTTAGTGCTTTTGAATGTGTGGTGTTGTATATTTTGACGTGAAACGGGGTTGCTGGTAAAGTATAGGTATGTAATATTTTTTTTCTCTATGCTTTTTTTTTGTCTACGCTTTTTTTTATTTTTATTTTTTCAGGGTTCTAGTGGTGTCCTTGTTTATCCATTATAATTTGTGGTGGTTGTCATTTTCCATTGTTTTATGTGTTACCGTTTTTTTCATATTACAATAATTGTAGGGCGGAATATATTACAATATTACAAGGTTGTTCGATACTCTAAGGTGCATTAGTTTAAAATATTTTTGAATTTACAGGGTGCTCCGTAAATGGGGTATGTGACAGAACTTTGTTATTTCAAATAGAACACCTTATATTTTATTTCTTAAACGGATCGTCCTAAAAATCCTGTATACCTTTTTTTGTTAGAATTATCTATACCAAAACTCAACCGTTTTTGAAATATTTGAAATTTTTTCAAAAAATCGCATTTTGCATTTGTCAACAAAAACCAACATATTTTATTCATTTGAGATCCTATAAGCTAAATCTTTTGCAGGTTGTTAGTGCATACCTACATACATTTACTTCATGGTCTTATGAAAATCTGATAACATTCTACAGGAGGTGAGTTCGGAATGGTAAAAAGTGTCGACACTATTTACACCTTGACACTGTGGCGTTCGTTAATTGGTAGAAGCAAATTTGGTGTACACTTTATTTGCGTTTGAAAACGATTTGGTGTTCAAATGGTGTAAAGATGGTGGGACACCGTTCACTCGCTACAAAATGATGGTGTATTTAGTGTTACACCGCCATCACGTGATATAATACTGCACTACACGAACACCGCACTAGCACTGCACTAAAATCCCATTCTGAACTCAACTAGGGTGTTCGCAATAATGTACACAGAACCAGACGTTTCAAACAACCATAACTCTTTTTTTTTTTAAGGAATGCTCTTTATTTTGTTGTCGCAACTTTTTTACCAAGCAATAAGCTTCCTTTTTTTATAAAGATGTCCTATACTTAACTGTGATAATTATCGAGTTTCTCAAACTTTTTTCTAAAGTCTTTCCTTAAATCCAGAATATTCATATGTCAATTAGAAAAATTGTTGCCATGGAAATAATAATTACATAAAAATCAATTGACACGTGACTATTGTGGGTTTTAAGGGAGAAAATAGAAAAAAGTTTTTAAGAAACTCGATAATTATCACAGTTAAGTATAGGTAATATTTCATAAAATAGGAAGCCTATTGCTCGGTAAAAAAATTGAAAGGACATTCCATTTTAAAAAAATGAGCTATGGTTATTTGAAGCTTCTGGTTTTGTGTACAGTATTGCGAACACCCTGTAGAATGTTATAAGATTTTCATAGGACCATGAAGTGAATGTAAGTATGCACTAACAGCCTGCAAAAAATTTAGCTTATAATATCTCAAATGAATGAAATATGTTGAATTTGTAGACACATGCAAACTGCGATTTTTTGAAAAAATTTCAAATACATACCTATTTCAAAAACGGTCGAGTTTTGGTATAGGTAATTCGTAACAAACAGTATGTAGGATTTTTAGGACGATCCATTCAACAAGTAAAATATAGGGTATTCTGTTTAAAATAACAAAGTTCTGTCGCGTATCCCATTTACGAAGCACCCTGCATATTTTAAAATATTTTGAACTAATGCACCAGAGTATCAAACAACCTTCTTATTTAATTTTTTTTTATTGCTTTACTCTGTAAGGGGATATCGTCCGATATCGCATTGAGTGGACACCCTGTATATATAATAAAAATTTCTTGGGGTAGCGGTCTGGTAGTGATTGAAACTCTTTTTTTCCGCCAGACTGCTACCCCAAGAATAAAAATTATGTATTCAATTGGCTAGTCAAGATTACCTTTCCCTGTTGTTATATAATAAAATATAACATTTACATAAATGAAGGCAGATCATTTGATATTCCCGATAAAAGTGATGCATATATGTGTATATTTTGATTGAATTTAAATAAATATGTTCCGCCCTTCAGTTATAATTATTACTTTTACAATAACTCCCTATGCCTTTTTCAAATTTAGCTTATTCTTTCATCCATGTTTCACACTAAACCATGTCACTATTGTTGTGCTTTTCTTTCTGAATATGGAAAATTATTATAAGCTTGTCATGGAAAAATTCAACCGAGAGAAACAGAGGCATATGAACAAACTAGATGAAATGATACCATATTTATGGCCTTTGTATGGCCATAGAAAATAAAAAAACCGCTTGAATAAACATGGCATTGACTGACACATTGCTGAAAGCGAAAAATCACAGACAAGAACAATGAGAGCACGGTATATCTCTCTAGGAACAAAATACCTAATGAGTAGAAGGCATAATTCTACTCAATGTAATGCCCAAACGAAACTATTCAGAAAAATACTAGCAGACAGAATAACATCCAAATTAGATAACTTGTTGTATATTGCTCAATAATTAAACTTTTCCCTACAAAAACCATCAATCATTAAAAATTCATTTAAAGATAAGCTTTGGAAGAAAAGTAGACATAGCATTAGAAGACTACATGACCATCGATGGTTGCTTGTATCTAGAAGGAATCATATGTTGGAATCGATGTTGTGGTTATTCAAGTATTTTTATGTTCAACATCAACAGAACTCAAAACTACTACCCCTATGGTGAAATTTGAACTGATCATGGCAGTAAACTGAGAACTTATCTGAGAAAAACTGTTGAAGTTGACGTGATTCCGCATCAACCATGTCTCAGTGATCATGATGCAGTCATGGTTTGTAAAGCCTTCCGAGTTACCTGAGCTGAAGTATTCTTTAATTCACCTAGTCTTGAAAGTGCTTCCTCTTCTTCTCCTACCTTGCCTATCCGGTCACCCCTGACCATCTTCTTTCATCACTTGGAGTGGGAGAAGAGCTTTTCTTTGGCCGAGGCAGTACTGCCTGGAGCGTGACTGTCGATTTTCAACACTTTGACTACAAATGATCCTTCGTGCAGAGAATTCCGTGGGTAAAATACCCTCCCAGTCGGATGGTGTACAAGGCGAGTCTACATCAGAGGTATTAACGCCAACTTAAACTCGGTGCACCGACATCTTGAGCACAAAAATCCACATATGCTGATCCCATTGGAGACTCACGTAAATTCTTCTGGCAAACAAATCCACTCGCAAATCCATCTCCTATGTCCCGTCTATGAACTTCATATGCGATTTCGCCTTAGGGGGGACTTTTCGCGCGTCTTTTCTCGCAGTGAGCCCTCGTGCCACAAAGAGGATGACCTCGAATCACCTGATCACGATGTAATTTGGCTGAAAATTAGTTCTACAGAGATGGTAAGGCAGTCAACCTGAAATTAGTTGAATACCTCGGAACCAATAAGCTCATATCTGAAAAAAGTACGGGCTTCGTTCCACAGGGGATCTGCTGGCGTACGTCAGTCATATTTGGAATTCGACTCTCGGAAAATATGGCGAATCCAGAACTGTAGGACATCTCCAAGGCTTTTGATCAGGTTTGGCACAAAGTTCTCCTCAGCAAACGTTCATCGTATGGTCTTCCAAACGAATTTTGCCATTGTCTGGGGAGCTTTTTAGAAGGCAGGTGTGGTCGATGTTGTGTCTTCTGATAAACTGCCTATAAATACCGGCATTCCCCAACTCTGAATTCTGTCCCTGCTTCTCATTTTTATAAATGATTCCTTAAATGTGACAATTAACCCCATATACAGCGTCGCGGGCGGTAGTAGGCTTGATGGCATGTTTGTCTACTGACAATCGCTTACCATACGCCTTGCCCGAGAACAGATTCACTCTATCAACAGTGATCTTGACACCATTACAAACTGGGGCCTTAACAACCTAGTCAAATTCAATGCTTCCAAAACTGAAGCAACAGTATTCTCAAATAAGAAATCTTCAGCGGATGATACCCAGTTTTGAGGATGTCGGGACAACACCTTTCTAGCAATGCTCCAGTATCTCTTCTTGGGGTGACCGCATCGACCAACTTGTCTTGGCATGACCATGTATTCGATCACTAAAACCGCTTCTCAAATTGTTTCGTGAAAAAAACTTCTTTACTATCTTTTATGAGGCTCAAATCAGACCATGTAATGAATACTTTTCTCACATCCTGGAGCGATGCTCCCCAAGCATTCGGTGGCTAAATCAGATGCAGAACAAAGAACAGTAATAAAAATGATCGATAATCCAACTCTCACTGAATAATTCGAATTCCTTGAACATAGACGCAAGGTGGCCGACTTAACGTTATTCTATCGCTATTACCATGGGAGATGATCTGGTCAGCCTCATTCTAGCTAGGAGAAGTTATTCAAGTACCACAAGAACCTCACAGGTATCATTCCATCCGTATGTGGTATAGTTGGCTACCCCGAGGACCTCTGAATGTAGGGCTTCTTTTTGGTGGCATACTGCCCACCTCACGGAGGGTTAATGGTCCGGCTTAGGTAGTAAGGATTTTGTCTTTTGTGAGCGGACCAATAAAAAAAAAACATACCAGTTTCACTTTATCACGGATTCCAGTGGCGCAGCCAGGGGGGAGGGGGCGGGCCTCCCCCAAGGCTTCAGAGAAAAATAATGAAGATGAAGTAGACAAAATCTGTAAACTGCTCATATCATAAAAAGCTTATGGGGTGTAAACTAAAAATACTTATTTGGTTTATGGTATGTAAAAAAACTCCAAGAACAACATTGAAAACCTCGTCTTTCTACCGGATTTCTATCAAAAGATATCAGTCTTTAGTGTTTGCAACAAAACATAGACGTGACGTCACATTCGCGTGTGGATCCCAACAGATTCTGCTTTTGGGTATGTAGATACTTTGGTTCAAAACCAGAGCCATATTTCGTTTCAAGTTTTAGCTATTTGATTCAACCCGTATTTAAGTGAGAGTCGTAGGATTTTTATACTCTGAGTCTACGGTATCCGAGCGGTTGTGACGTCCCGCTTCCACAGTTATTTTGCAAATATCTCAAAATCCGTCAGGCATAAAATGATGCGGCTTGAAATATTATTCTCAGAATTTGTTATAGAGAAATTTTGATTTTTGGTTTATATTACACTCCCTCTAAAGGATAGGTGGTCTGTGTAAACTCCTATAATTTTTCTGCATGGCACCCTCCAGACAAAATTTCTGGATGCGCCACTGACGGATTCAGTAGTATTTCGTTTGTTGAACGACAAAACTGGAAAAATTGTGAAGTTCTTCTATAATGAATTTGCAGAGCGATGTGAAAATGCTAACTTGAATTATTGTTCACCACTAGAAATTGTATTCAAATCATATTGTGATAATGCGCAACAACTTATTTTGTTTTAGCCCGCCGACCTAAAAAAGAGAATTGAATCGCTTATTGACCGTGATTATATGGAAAGAGACAAAGAAAACTCGACCCAGTACAACTATGTTGCCTAATGTGATTGACTGTTTCTTTGTCTAATAATTTTTATTTTTATTTTTTTTTTCATAATTTCAACCTTTATATAATATTGTGTTAGTTGTTTTGGGGTAACTTTTTAAAGTTTGTAGGCATAAGTTTCTGAAGAAGGGAAGTTTTGAGCAAGTTAACTACTTTAACCAAACCTCCTTTGGTTAAAGGAACATCTAAAATAGAAATTTTAGTTAATTTGAGTTGTGGTGTTGACTAACGACTGATTATTAGGACATTTTGTAAATTTTATGAATTCGAACCTGGTCCACATTATATCAGACGTTTTAGAAAAATGTTTATTGTTAATTTTAGTGTTTTATAATTTATACCACATCTTTATTTATGGACTACATAATATTCTATTATGCTAATGTATATATTTTTGTCTTATTTAGCTGCCTCCGTATTGAAAAAAAAAATTAATATTACAACTAAGATGAAAATGAATCAAATTTTGCATGTAGATAGAGGTTTGAGTTAGTTTAAGTGTTTAGAAAATTATTTATTTAACAAATTATGTAAAAAAAATGTTTCACCACTTTATTATTACAAACTTTTGTTTCAATTGAGATTTTAGAGCTTAATTCAAATTTTCTCTTCAAAAACAAAGATGGCTAAATAAATACATCCTTCTAACTGTTTATTTTGTGATTTTACAACGTTGGGCGATGGTTAGTTGTACACTGGGTTTTAGCTGCGAATTTACCACATCAAAGAGAACAGCGAGTGGAGCTAATGGAAATATGCGCAGTCGTTACATCTGGTGACTTCGCCCACAAGGGGAACGTCGCGATGATCTCTATTCGGGACTCGGGAGGATTGGCAACAGCGCAAATTCCAAATGCTAAATCTGATTTGATTCTGTGAACAACTGTTTTGAGGAATTGATGACCAAAATTTTGGCAGGTGGAAGTCAAACCATAATCCCGTTTTACTCCTATTTCTCGTTGTAGTCATTTAGTCTTGGTGTAAACGACTGACTAAAAAGCGGGGAAAATTCGCTCCCTTGGATATTTACATGGGCTCTTTACCAAATGATAGGCTAGGCTTGGGCTAAATCTCTGTCATCTGAAATGATTTACTGACATTTTTACTAGGACAAATGTCAGATTTTTCAGTCAAAATTCATGTTTATTATTTTTCCACATATATTTTTTCATTCAAATGATGAGTCTGCTTTCCAGCGTTGGCTATTTCGTAAGATCTGTTTCAGCAGCCAAAAGACCTTGTATGTCCTCTCTATGGGTCAAGTTTTTGTTCATCGTTGGCTTTTTTACCAATTTTTCGCTTTCCAAAAGCCATAATTGTTTTGTGATCGACTTTACCAAATTGGGCATATTTGAAAATCCTTTCGTTTAACAGCTTGGATTAAGGTAGCTTATAAATGTTCACATTGTTCACCAAGTTTTAACCACATAAAATCCGCGAATGATGACCAGGTAAACATTTTTTGTGAGAAAAATAGCACCAAGGGTTCACAGTGCGAGAAGCTAGCGCTGGCGGTGGAAATTTTGCGTCAGGTTTAAAATTATTTTTTGTTTTCATTCGTGGTCATTCCTATGACCGTGTTCTCACACAGAAGAACAATGCAACAGAAATTGTGCATTTGACTTTTGCTTCTGGGGAGGTTTATTTGAAATGTGCAATTCAAATGCGTTTTACTAAGTCACAATTTTCAGCAGTGATATAGGCACCGGTAAAAATTGCAACTACTGACACGAATTTGAATTACACATTTCAAATAAACCCCCCCTGGTGAAAACACGGTTTGTTTATGCATCAAAGTTTGACTACTGCCGATTGGGAATCTTTGTATATTGTGATTTTGGAAAGAATGTAAATTTGTGATTGTATCGGACAGGTCCGCTAATTTTGTATAGTTAACAATAAATAGTTCTAGTTAGGTGTTCCTTCAATTTGAATAATTAAAAGATGCATAAGTTCACCATTCTGTTTTTTCAAAACCTTTAGGCGATTTCGGCAAGCTTTGGTACATGGTTTGGTACCCTGTTTGGTCTGTCAAATGCATACCAACCAATTTCGGATACGAAAATGATGTCGTCACCGTGACTTTGGTATACTTTTTGGTCTGTCAAATAGGATACCGTGGTCAGCAGCACGGTTCTTCTATTTGGTATAGTGCTATCTACGTCTATTTTCGTTTTGTCCTGCTCTGGAAAATGTAAATAAATGGAAGTTCATTAGAATTTGAATAATTTGAAATTTTTAACAAATATGTTTGTTTTTTCGCCTTCATCTTCCTGATTTCTCGTATGTTTTGACTGCCAAATAATGTTTGACGATCATTTGAAAAACGGCTCTGAACGACAGATATGAGGTAACTTTAACAGCTTCAAATTTACAGAAAACGCTGAGTTACTCAAAGGTACTGTCTAGACAGTGCTGATTAGTGATTATACATTTTAGTCAGTGCAGTCAGTACCTAGTCACTCCCAAAACTAGAAGAACAACACAAAGTTAGGTTGAGGCTCGTCTCTTCCCCTCTCCTATGACCTACCAAACGAATTCGGAACAAAATGGTATCTTACGTCATTACTATGACGTTGCAGGTACCAATTGGTTAACCAAATGGTATACCAACCAAAGCTTGCCGAAATCGCCTTTTATTTTGGAATTCATTTTCATAGAAAAGTATTCTTCCATTAGATTTTTAGTCTTCCGAACAGTTGGAGTACTCCTAACAGTTAAAATATTCCGAACGGTTAGAACACTCCGAATAGTTGGAGTAATCCTGGTGAGTTGGTTCACTCCGAACAGTTTGAGTACTCCGGATAGTTGTTATTGAACCGCCGCGTAGTAATAGATTTTCCTACAAGCGTGCGGGAAACACCACTTTTCAGCAAGGATTTTAATTTTAGTCGGTTAGTTCCAATTCAGTTTCAATTAAATATTATCAAACTCACCGATAATAAAGTAAGTAGTAACCCGGTTAGTTAGCAATTTTATTCAGATAATACGGATAATAACTCGGTTGGTTTGGGTTAGTTCCCGTAATCTACGTATATAACAAAAGCAAATTTTGCAAACATTATTAAGGGGTGAATAGTCGTTTCTTCCGTGCGTTCGGTATTTTGATCTGAGTTCTTCGAGCAAAATTTACTGTTCGTTTATTTAAAAAGTATACTCGGTGCAGGCTCATTTGCGTTCGTTTATTAACGTTTCAGACACAGCGTTCAATTGCTCTGTTCGCTCGCTGGTCACGTGATTACAGCTCCGCTCAGCACGCTCTGCTCTTTACGCCAAATACCAAACGTAAGGCTTGACTCTTCCTTGGAGGTCTTGAGCTAAGCTACATCCTCACTCAATCGGTGGCGAAGGCGAAGTGGCACTTCGGCACGCGTGGGGGGAAATTGATACCCATCCTAAATGCTGGATTTTATTTTATTATTTTTTACCGTACTGCGCATGACACAAGTCGGCACGCATCGAAAAAGCTTGCAGCTCCCAAGCTTGCACTTCGGAGTCGGCGTTCATGCTAGCAAGGAATTGAATTGAGGATGCCAACGTTAAACAACATTGTCCAAGCATGCGTGCCGAAGTGCCACTTCGCTAACAGATTGATTGAGGATGGGCCTTTATATTGGACACTTGCTACTATTTGACAAGTTAGTCATGTCAACGTTTATGGCTTCCTAAAGAAGGTCTGAGAAAACCTCAAGAAGCGACTATAAATTCGGCCCTAAGAAATTGCAATAAAACAACTTGTGATTTTTATGTAAATCTGTCCAAAGTGTATTCTTTCTAAAAATTATCACTTTCAGTTTGATCACCTGCAACTGATCCTGATCACTTTGTACTTGAAGGAACAGAAACCCTGTGTGGGGCCGGATAACGTACATCCGATACGTAAAAGTTTCCGAGTCGAAGACAAACTCGAACCCTAGACACCGTACGAACGAGAAATTGATTACGAACACACGAATCGGCTAAGGGAGGATATATGTCCGTAAAGTCTTCTATTTTGACATATTTATATACGATTATGTCAGAATAGAATGTTAAACGGACATATTTCGTCGGAAAAACGGATGCATGAAAATCCTCCCTAAATCAGCTGTCCGCAAGTACAATGCTAGAATACGAAAACTCTCGCTCGAGGTGACGTCAGCTGCAGTCCTTTATTGTTGCGTTTACTATGAATATGCATCATTCATCATTGAATGCATGGAATTGATGGGAAACTTGCAGTGTTTTTATGGATTGCAACCATGTTTAGCTGTATATTTGGATATTTGGGAATGCAAAAATTAAATCATTATAACAAACATTTGGCCGAGGGTAATTTAGTAGGTATATGTATAAAAGCCGTGCGCTTTATGGCATAAACTTTCTAATTTCCTCTCTACACGTAGATTTTCTTTTCATACTGTTAGTAAATTTGGCTTTTAAATATCTGTAATTTATTCTAATTATCGTTCATAGCTTGCAAAAATTTTAATTAAATGGTGATTCTTTTTCCGTTTTGAATATTTATCTTGCCAAGTTTTGTACCATTCCTTATGTCTTTTTCAAAACGAATCGCCATCCATCCATTTTTTTAATTTTTTTCTAAATTATCATAATAATTATTCAAATAACACTGGACACAGCGATTTTTAAAGTCAAAATGCACTGTTTTAATAGAAACAATCCGGTTGAGGACTGCGACTGACGACTCGCGATGTTCGATATTTTGGAGAACGTATGTCTTATGGTTATGGGCCCGACTCGTCTATCTAGGGTGGATCCTCGCATGTATGTACGAATATATTTTAATAAAAATCAAAGATAGAAACACAAGAAAAACAAAACGAAGCAAAACGCACCCCAATACCCAATGGCATAACAAGGAAAACAAGAACAAAACTAAAACAAGTGTGCGTGCAAGAAGGACAAAAAACGATTCCGTCAACAGCTGTTATCGGAAGCTACGGAATGGTTCACGCTCCGATTTGTCTCGCTATGAGAAACAAATTAAACATCAACAGAGTGGCATTGTTTATCCTAAGGTTTATCCCTATACAACAATTAATTGAAAAAATAAACCCAAACTCAAACTAACAATATTTTTTCTTTATACAGTGTGCGCCATAAAGTTGGGTACATATGGGAAAATTCTTAATTATTCCTTTTTCCAAAAAACTTTTTTTGGAGATCGTTAGGGCATGTTTGATAACCAAAAAATCGATTATGACACGTCATGTTATTTTTCTGATGACCAAGAAATATGCGAAAAGGGACATGGGTACAGGGCCGTAGCTAGAGTCAAATTTAAGGTAGGGCATGACAAATTTGACATAGGGCATACACTACTTACCCCCCCCCTTAATTTTTTTATAGGTAAACAAAATGGGGCTAATGGCGCCGAAGACAAATTTTTCAATAAATCAAGGTTCAGGTTGTATGGTAAAACGTAACTTGATGACACATCTGATCTAGGATACCTTATAGAGATTTGCATTATGTTGAGGCACCCCAGATGACGTCATAAAGTTACCAGGCATCCTACCTCTCTCGCCTCTATCAAACAACCTTGCAATAAATAACATCTCTGGCAAGTAAACAAAATGGCGCGGATTCTCGCGCCAGCCGCCTTGGGCCATTCGCACTCTTTG